TGACCCTACCGTTTTGATCATCTCCCCCACTTCAGTACCTGAGACTTTCATGGAACATTTTAGATTTAATCCATAATACCTTGTTACTACTCAGTGGAGGCAGAAGTGTAGGTTCCCCAGGCAGTGATCATTGACACCCATGGAGGGTTGCTTATTGGTATTGATGGGTAGAGATAACATTCTGATCCCAATGTGGTCTCTGCTGACTGCACGGTGGGGGTTTGTTACTACTAGGCTGACTCCCCATTAGGTGTTCTCTGACACCATCCCAGCAGGAAAGTGGGTGGCACCTTGTTTCTGGCAGGTGGGGATGGAAATCCAAGCTCCCCAAACAGTGTCTACTGATATACAGGGAGTTGGGGGCAGGGAGTGGGCACCTGGGGTCTTATTAGGCTAGTGTGGGTGAATGTTCTGATTTTCTACTCTCTTTCAAACTATTTTGGGAGATTCTAGGGGTACTTTTTTCAGCCTTGCTGGGGTGGATGTTTAGGTTCCCTAGATGGCCTTCTGTGGTGTGGGCTGTGTGTAGGACCACAGTTTTTTTTCTTCTGTAGTGTTTGGCTTGAGTCAAAGCGTTAATGCCTAAAAGTTTTCTGTCTTGTCAGCTACTTTAACTCTATGTTGGTGATGTATGAGTCAGAAAGAAAACCTAGAAATTTTACTTTCTCCAGGATCCAAGGTTCCTTATCTATTTTGTTTTCTTTTCTCCACCTTTCAGAAACTTCTCAATGCTCATATTATAAAAAGTATATCAAGGCTTTTAATTGTACTTGCTAGGAACAGGAGAAATTTTTGTCTACTCCATTATGCCAGAAGTAGCAGTTCCAGAATGCTTCTTTTTAAACACACCTAACTTATGGCTTTATGTTTACCTAAAAATAGAATAAATCTGAACATTGTAATTATGAGGATTTACATACTCTGATGTAACAAGTAGTATCTATTCTGACAACTTTACAGACTTTCAATAAAATATACCCCATTGGGATTTCTTTTAGACATTAAATCTATGACATTGGAGTTCAACATTCTATTTTAAATCACAAATGATCACTTGCCCAGGATATATTATTAATATCTGTTTTTCAAAATGTAATATTTTATTTTGGGTACAATCATTGCTTTTGGAGATATTGAATAGAGAAACTGCTCTTCTGTTTAAAGTACACTATTATTTTAATGTCATTCTGCACTAAGGAACACTTGTATCTGTAACAAAGAAGGAAGAGAATGTGATATTAAAGGATATTAAGCACATTTGCTCTCGCACTGGAAATGACTAAACTGACTAAAGATCAATTTAACAGGTCATGAATCAGCATATTCTAATCAAACTTACTAAATTTCACATTTTTTAGGACAAAATATCTGTAGAAGATATAATGTATTGATAGAGAAGTGCTATATAATAAGACAGTTCCTTGCCTTGCCTCCCTTTTTTTTCCCACAGAAAGTTTTGTTTTGGAAATGTAAGTTTGTGCTGCTGGCCTCTTACCCAATGTATCAAAATGGTTTGTGACTGTTTGAACCGTGTGACCTTTCTGTTCTGTTAAGCTCTGCCTCCTCACAGGAAGGTTCTGTTAAACTCCACCCCTTTGCTTCAGGAGTGTTCAGTAACTCTGCCCTCCCCCCCCCTCCCGTTTCATTGAGCATGCTCACAGGCATGTGTTTCAGAAATGTTCTGTAACTCCGCTCCCCTACTTCATTGAGCATGCTCGCCTACCCTGTAGATCCCTATATAAGGAGGCTTTCATTTCTGGTAGAGCACTCAGACTCCTCCGAGCCCATTGAGGCTTGCCAGCGTAATAGAGGTTATTTTCAACCTCTTCAGCTGACCAAGATTCTCCAGTCTTCTAATTACGAGAGCTATAAATGTCTCTAGTTTATCATTCTTTACGGCTGAGTAGTACTCCATTTTATAAAAAAGCCACATCTTCTTTATCTAGTTTCCAGTTGATGGGCACTTGGGCTGTTTCCAAGCTTCAGCTATTACAAACTGTGCCACTGTAAACATAGGTACACATATATCGCTGTGGTAAGATTCTTTTAATTCTTTGGGGAAGATATCCAGCAGAGGAATAGTTGGGTCAAATGGGACCTCTAGCCCTAGTTCTTTGAGGTATCTCCATACTGATTTCCACAGTGGTTGTACCAGTCTGCACTCCCACCAACAATGGAGAAGGGTTCCTTTCTCCCCGCACTCCCACCAGCATTTGTTATTGGTTGATTTCTTGATAAGTGGATGCATATTGAGACCATACTTTTAAGTGAAATAAATAGGACACACACATGTAAATACCGAATAGCTTCTCTAGTGTGAGAAACTGAAAGTGTAAATAAGGATTAAAATGATTAAAATGAATAATTGACAATTTGAAATAGGAGAAGGTCCAAAGGTGTAGGGGTGGTGGGAGAGTAAGGGGAAAGGAAAGAAAAGAAAGGAAAAATTATGAGAAAGGAAAAAAAAATGGAAACGAAGTCTATGTAAATGAGGAAGGGTTGAGGGGGTGAAGGGTGGACAGGTGATGGGGGAAAAATAAGAACCAAGATACATCATGTACAGGTACAAGCATCCAATGATAAATGTAAATGTATTGTGTACCTAAAATGTACCAATAAAAGAATTTAAGGAAAAAATTATGAGAGCTGTGACCCAGAGCTGCCACACTGAGCTATAAAGCTCTGCTGCAACAGTATGGGATGCTTTGGTTCCAGAAGTTTATCCCAGTAAAAAGGCTACATCTGCAAGAAGGAAATAAAACGAATATATCTAAGTAAAAGTTGTGCAAGGGATGATTTAAAATGATCATGTTTGATAATGAAATTACATTTCTCTGAATCAAAATTTATAGTTCTGCAACTTGCTTAGAACTTTTCCAGTGTTTTTTAGGATTGAAGTAAAAGAAAGTATTTAACTGAAAAAACAGCCAGGAAAAAATAACCCAAAAGTTTTGAAAACAAAAGAAAGAAACAAATAAAAACCTTGAATGATGCCTCATTGTTCCCTGAGAATGAATGGAAAGGAATCATGTTTTTTTGTTTTTTTTTTGGCCATGCCTAGCTAGACGACTCATTTCTTTCCATTTCATTCTCTCTTTTTGATATGTGAAATTTTATGGCTCACTTTTAGTGTAGCAACTTAGATCTCAGTTGCAGTATCCTGATAGCTAAAAATCCTAGTCTGTATTTCAGTTCTCCAAATTAGTTTTTCCTTATTCTTTTCTTTAATTCATGTAAATGTGAGCATTGAGCTACGAATGTAACCATAGCAATCACCAAAACTATACACCTATATAGTATTATATATATACTATATATATATGATCATATTAGAAAATAATAAACATCATGTATAGGAATTTGATGTTTTTTTTCTTATGCTCAGAAGGTCACAGGGGACATGTTTGTATCTCACACACATTGCAGCTCCTCTGCTGATGCATCTCACTGCTGTGGGACAGCAGCCACATCCATACCTGGTTCCACTTTCTCCTGATCCTTTAGAGTCCCTGCTTCCAGGTCAAGTGTGGGTTTAGATCTGCGATACAGTCTGCTGCCTTCTCCTGTTGCACCTTACATCATCACGGTCAGAGGGCCAAGAGTGAACATGGGTTACAAAATGTCCTTGTGGTTTTGAGCCCATGTTCCTGGTTCCAGCTAATTTTTACTCTTCCTCCCTGTCTACTATAAATCTTTTCTTTTCAATTTCCTGACCTGTGGCAATTGAATCAGACACAAAACAAGTACCTTCCAGATATTTTAAAAGCAGCTCTCCCAGTTGCATAAGGTTGATTCCTTAGAACAAATCATTTATTCTACCCTATTTCTATCTATCTCATCCTCTAGAACCTATGTTAACATCTCAGTAGTTCTCTGTTGAAACCTTGACTGCTAGAATGATCTTCACCATCATCTCAAACTTGCAAATATCATGATACTCAAACTCATTAAAATAAAGAATTACCAGATTTCTGTTAAACATGGTTTACTAGTTCCACCTGTGAATATTGTATCACATTTAAAAATGTATATCATTGAAATTAAAGTTTTCCAATAACAGAATTTTCTTTTCATTTCTGGTGGTATTAAAACCAAATGCAGGTGACTTTATCCAACAAGTATTGATTATTCACTTGTTATATGTTAGAAATAATATTTCATAGAGGGAACTGGGTATTAAGTTATCTGGTGAAAGGAGAAAGAAACATGTGTTGCAGTCTTATTGAATGTTATTAGAGCTCTGTTTATTCAAATTATTAGTGTTTTTTTCTGACACCGCTTGAAGAAGCCTTGTGATTTTTGAAAGCAGGTTCAGGTGTGAAGGAAAGTTCCAATTAGTGAGACAGTGTGATTTTGCAATTGCCATCCTTAGGCATCCAAAAATGTGCCACATAAAAATATTTAAAAACTAAAGTCTAATATCAAGTTTTTTCATATTAAAATGTTTAAAAACAGTGATTAAATAGGTAATGGATATAGTGGTACATACTTTGCCATTATAGAATCTGCTTATTAAGGCAAAAAGGCAGCTAGAAACCATGTTGACTAATTGATTTATTTTCTAGATGACAAACCAAAGCTCAAAGATGGTGAATATTTTTTCCCAGGCTTCACTGGTAATTTTTTAGCATAGTTAAATTTAGTCTTATAATCCATTTCTACTTTAATGTTCTATAATTAAATAATGGGTCTTCTTAACATTCCAGAAAATTTTCAATGTATATTATTTTTAATGATATCATCTCTAATATAATTACTTAACTATATTAAAATTTTTCTCACACTTTCTGGTATTACATTTTTATCTTTAAGCCTAATCAGGTAAAAGTTAAATTTTCCATTCATGGATTTTACATTTTTTTTCAGATAAAGGACTGTTCCAGATAGCTTGATATCAAAGCTCAACATCAATTATATTAGAAGGTAAAAATAATGAAAGTTTGTTTCATGGCTTTTTAAGAAAGAGGATGGGAATATTTGCATTTTGTTCATTTTCACAGCTGGATTCTGATGGCATCGTCACTATAGAGGAGCAGATTGTCCTTGTTATGAAAGCTAAAATGCAGTGTGAACAAAACATCACAGCTCAGCTCCAGGAAGGAGGTAAGGATGGTCAGAAAACTGTACTCCCTTTGTGCTTCTCCACCCTAGTCCTCACTAGCACTGTTTCCCTCATTTATTTGGGAGATCTTCACCAGTCAGTCTGTATTTTCATGTGGAAGGGTATGTGGCAGAATAACACCATTTTCTTTTCTCTGCCCCACTTGCTCTTTCTTCCTCATGAGGAGAAATGACTCAGCCAGTTAGTGAGTTTGGAGCAGTAATGGGCAATGGGCATGTGCACATCAGGCCTACGCTGGGATCTGTCTGTAGGACCAAGCATACAGGGTTTCCTTTGATCATGTAATGAGCGTGGAGGTGGAGGGTCCGTCTCTGAGGAGATTGCCTGAGCATTTACATACTAAGCAAGCTTATTAATACCCAACCAAACCATGTTCTGCTGAAAAAGTTCTGTTAATAAACTGATAACTTATTTCCATTTGCCTGTAAATTAGTTGTAAATTCGAGTGGGAAGTGGAGTTTGCTGAGCTCCCTAAATTTCCAACAAACTGAATGCAGCACACAGCGTCCTTAAAGTTAGGCCTCTATAATAAAATGTGCATCTGGTATCTACTTCATACTGGTTTTCCAATATTGAAACCTTGTGATTGATTTCTCTGTTGATATGATCCCGAGAATGTGCTTTGCATGATATTGATTAAAAAAAATACTTAAGCTGTATGGTGGAGCATTTGCTTGTTATACACGAGCACGAGTCCTTGGGTTTAGATCCTAGCACATGCACAAAAACATGTTGAGACTTACTGTAGTTAATTCTGACAAATATTCATGTGCTACTCAAAGGAATATATACTCTCTTGTTCTGAGTATGCTGTCTTAAAGACTCCACTAAATTAAAGCTATTAGTTTGTGATTGGTGTATTCTGTATCCATAATGATTTTTAATGTGCTTGAGCAATTTACTGTGATACATATCTTAAAATGTAATACTACAATGATAAGTTTTTCACTGAAAAAATTCATTGGATGTTTTTCTTCCTTTTTTTTTGTTAGTACATATTGGCAGTACACAATGATTACATTCATTGTGAGGAGTTGGTACATATAGATAACACATCTTAATTCTTTTTATGTCTCTCTCTTTTTTTTTGTACCAGGGATTGAACTCAGGATGTTGTGCTTGCGAGGCAGGCGGTGAAACCACTGAGCTAAATCACTGGCCTCTCTTTTTATGTCTCTTTACCCTCCCTTTTCTGCCAGTTGTATTTTTTCTACTTTCCTTTCCCCTCCTCCCATTTCTTTTTTCCAATTATCTTTTATTTTGATTTTAATTTAAATTTTGAGTTTCTCATATAAGAGAAACCATGCAATATTTAAGCTTGTGTGTCTGATTTATTTTACTTAACTCTATGGTCTTTAGGTGCATCTATTTTCCACAAATGATTCATTTATCCTTTTTTATGGCAAAGTAGTACTCCATTGTGTGTAAATATCATATTTTCTTTATTCAGTCATCTGTTGATGGACATATTGACCACTTCTAAGATTTAGCTATTGTGACTTGTGTTGCTATAAATATGAGCATCCCTGTATCATTGTAATATGATGACTTTAACTCTTTTGGGAAGATACCTAGGAGGGGAATAGCTGGGTCAAATGGAATTTCTAGTTTTAGTTTTTCGAGGGATCTCTGTACTGATTTCCATGGTGGCTGCACTTGTTTACACTCCCACCAGTGTTGTAGGTGGCTATGTGACTGTCTGCTCCTGACAGCTGTCTGTGGGTGGTGAGCTGGAGATGGTGAGAGTCAGCAGAGACCCTTTTGCTTCATACATTTTGAAAATATGTCATTAGGTATGTTAGTTTAGATATTAGTTTGGAAATGTTGTATTTTCAGGTGAATTAAACCTTTTACCAATATAAAACATTCTTTTTTATCCCTAGGACTGTTTCGATTTAAATATTAAAATATGTATTGGTTAAATTATTATATTAAAAAAGCAATATTTAATAACACTAGTTTCTTTCTTTTATGGTAAGTATTTGCCTGGCATAACTTTTCCAATCCTTTAAAATGTTTTAACTGTGATAAAGTGCTTATAAAATTGCCATATTAACCATTTTAAATGTAGTATTCTATAATGTAAAGTATATTCACATTGTTGTTCAATGTCAAGAAATTTTTCATCTCGCACAGTTGACATTCTACATCCATTATATAGCTGCTTCTTCCTACCCTTTCATTAAACTTTCTACACACAGTGGTACCTTGGCTCATGAACTTAATTTATTCCATGATTCTAGAGAAGATAGGCACAGTTGTGTTCACCACTCCACGCAGAGTTCATGAATAAAAAAAATTTTGCCAAATTCTTCTGAGTGCAAACCAAATTATTTGCAAACAAGAGCATTGCTGAACTGTGGTACCACTGTAAACATTTTGGAGTATCTTTTAAAAGCAGGATACATGTCGTCTTCTTGTTATTCATTTTGATAACTTTTGTCTATTAAATGAAGTCCAATTATATAAGTTGTGACTCTCTCTCCATATAATATATATGTAATAAATTTATACATATATAATGAATATATAATATATAATGAATTTATGTACTTATATATGAATTTATGTATTTATATATAATGAAATTAACTCTACCATCTTATTTAGGCTTTCAGTTTCACTAGGTCTTATTATGTGTCCTTTCCATTCCCCTGATAACAACTTTCTTTTAAATTAATGGAGTTTTCCTGCTTATTTCATTCCATCTTGTCTCTCCCTGTCCCACAACTAGTTTGAAAGAGATACATTGTGTTTATTTATGGTAGTGGTTACCCCAGAGCAGTGATGGTGAACTTTTCAGAGCTTTCAAAGATATAAGCAGCCTGCTATGGCTCTCCTGCCATAGATTCGTTACCACTGCACTAGAGATTTTTAAAATGTCTTTTAGAGAAATTTTAGAGTTTACCAATAACCTTCTGCTTTCCAGATAATATAAGTGGTATGGCATACACTGATTGCTTCCCAAGTTATAAACTATTGCTCAGGATTGTAGTTTTGCCTTAGTTTTATGTCATTTCAATTTTTCTTCTTCCAGAAATGTTATTTATGTATTTATTATTTTCTTTATATAGGAATCTACTGGTGCTCACAGTTTCTGCTTGCCTGAAAATATCTTTATTCCATTTGCAATCTTGAACAGTACTGTTTCTGGAGATAGTACCCATGGTTGAGAATTATTTATTGTTGCCATTGTAGGTATTACTTTACTCTTTCCCTTGTGCCCATTGCTATTGTTGACAAATCAGCTCTCAGTCTTTGTTGGTGACTGGCTTTTTCTCTCTGGCTTTTAACAACTGCACTTTGACTTTGATGTTCTGTGGTTTTTATCTGTATGATCCATGTTCGGATTCACTGGATTTTCTGAATCTGAGGATCTGTGTCTTTGTTTAGTGACAGAGATGTTTCAGTTATGTCTTTGAAAATCTGTTCCCTTTCATTCTCCCTCTTTTGTCCCTCTGTAGCTTTAAGTAGATAAATGTGAGACCTTTCCATATTGCCTTCTGTAGATCCAGGTCATATATTTTCTTTTTCTTTGTTTCTCCACTGGAGTCTTTTGTGATTTCTTCAGATTTATTTTCCAGTTTGTCACTCTGTTCAGCTATAAGAGCTGTTTAATCCATCCACTAGTTAATTTGATTACTTTTTCATTTTCTGAAATCTTCATATTTAATTTTGATAGTCTCTTGTACCATCAATAATCATTCAAGTTCTTCTTGTTTCCCTAGACATATACTTCTTGTCCTGCATTTGATAATTCTTATATCCACAGGCTTTGCTGATCAATGCTGACAACGATGTGTGGTAGCTTGTGTCCTTATGTGTCAGATTTATAATAAGGTACTTGGGGTCCTTGGTTAAAATGTTTTCCTCCTGAGAAAACCTGTTTGGTTTTCCAGGTTTCTAGAATAACTGAAGTCTACTTTCAACTCAATTTAGAGAAACATGAGTGGGGGTGAATTTAGAAAGTTTTAGAGAAGCCCCCCCCCCCCCCCCCCCACTATTTCCTCTTTCAACTCTTACTTCAGCCAACAGCTAAACAGGGCAATCTCTTTTTGAAGGATGGTTTGGTTTCTTATTCACCAATTAATGAGTGGGTCATTTTTTGACTTTACTGAGGGAGATTCTATCTAATTTTCCAAATTTCTTAGGCCCCAGGCTTATCTTTTGTTGCCAAAATGTTTTCCAAACCCAAGCTCTTAGCCAAATGGATAATAGGGCTAAACTAAGGTCTAAATGCAGTGCTTGCTATCCCCATAGAAAAATTTCTGTCCCCACCTTCATTATTTTACTTTATAGCCATCTAAGCCATCTTAAAGAGAGGAGGTTTTATATTAACCTAGCCTTTGTAGGTGTCTTGCACTAGGGGTCCTTTTATTAATGATCAGTCTAGTAGTGCCCAGAAAGAGAGTCAGTCACTCATGCTCCTTGCAATAACACTGACCCTGGTATCTCAGTCATGCAAACCTACTAGCAAGGATCAGCATTGTTACTGTTTGGCTGGTGAGTTCGTCGTCTCTCAACTCAGAAAGAATTACAAGGTAGAGAGTCAAAAGAAGACTGAGCACAAGTATTTATTGTAGAAGGAAAGCAGCAAACAGCATTTAAAGTAAAGCCAGAGTAAAAAGCCCCCAGGCAGATGAACCTGGGAGGGGACCTGAATGGACTACCAAAGTGACTCTTTGTCCAGGGATCTTTATACACAAAAATGACTACACCTCAGCCAAGTTGAGGTCAACCTCTAGGGTTACAAGTAGGAAAGTCTGACTTAGAAGTGGGCCTATGGGAACTCAGATGCACCATTCATTTTAACTGTAAGCAGGATAATTCCTGGGGGGGAAAATCTCACCAATCCAATGTGGCCTTTGTTTGTTGAGCCTCCTGCACCCTGGCCTTGGATATCACATCCTTCACTGAATCTTCTCTGGCTGCCTGTCCTGTCTGTCCACATTCCTCTCCCATCATGGGCCAGTGTTACTGA